ACCTTTTTACTAAGATGAATTTTAAAGTATAAGCTTTACTTTTCTAAGGTAAAGAGTTCAAAAGAAGAATGCTTGGTGAATGAAGACTGCATCAGAACAGGTCATTAAAATCTAACATACTAGCACATATCAACAGAACCATTTACCCAACAGCAGACATGTTCTTTATTTGACACAAGGAAAAATGTGTTGGTTCAAAAATCACTACGAATATGACCTTCTGTGGTAATACTAAAATGTGAGCTAATTCCCCACAGGAAATCTTACTCTCTAAAGAGTACAAGGCTGTTCTTCCTGTCTTTTCTCTCCCCCCGCTAAATGGCAATGATGGAGAGGAAAACAGTTAAGTGCATTTAATGAAACGATGCATCGGAACAGAAGTTCTATTTTGTTCTAGTTTCAATTGCTAGAACTTGAAAATCACATCAGACATTTTTAGAAACAGTTAGTCCCATAGACTAAATAGTCTGCATTTCTGCTACTCTGAGAAAGACCTTCTTCCATCTAGAAACTGAATTACTTTAAAAAATTATCCGCATGAACTAGAATAAAATAACCAAGCAGTTCTCCACTTCAATTTCTGCGTTCAGAAGTTGAAGCAAGCTACAGATTGGGATAATTACTAACACTGCTGGATTCAGCAGCTCTGTGGAGTCAACTGCTACAAAATCCCCATTCACACCACACCAGGCTCAGAGGAAAGTAGCCAAATAATGAACCCCCAGTAGTCTAGCGCATACTTAAGCTGGAGATCCCAGAAGTCTCAAAAAGAATAGCTTTGGTCTAGTGGACAGGAATAAGCTTTTCTGTAACTAGCATCAGAAACAAGTTATAAATCCAGTGATTTAGTTGGAGGACCTCTGGAGACCAAATTTGTTAAAATGACTTTCTGTGCAAAACACAGAAAGATTACACTAAGTCCTCCTGTTCATTTAGTCCTACTGAACATCATGGCAAGAGACATTTTGTGGAAATAAATCAGTTGGTCTGCAAATTCTGCTATTACTCTTACATTACATAATCTTGTTCCTAGAAATCACTAATCATAAGGCATCTGCAGAGCAGGTAGGAGGAGGAGAAAATGAATTATTCATGCAGAATGATTCTTTGGAAGATTGAGGTCTGACAGAACCATGTTTATACATGAACATCAAAGAAACACGAGTCTTTTCCAAAGTTTGGAAAACGAGTTTTAGAAGTTACTCCATATTGAATGTAGACAGTTTTGGCCACCCAAACATGACAACAAGGGAATCATGACTCTTCTACAGTTATAGTTTATTTCCTCTCATCTTTCATGCACAGGCACCATTGCACAATTTTTTGGCATCCTCTGAAAAGATAACATGAAGTATGCATGTGAAACACATGTGAAGAAAAAAATCGAAACCTCAATAAATCAAAATACTGCAAAAATAGTATATCTGGATATGGACTAAATTTAAGGTAATCCTCTAACTTTGCCTGTGATATCAAGCCATGCAAGCACCAGCATGCTAATAAAAAAATGTAACCATTTTTATAGAAATATACAACTACTCCCACTCTGTCCCCTTTGGAAAAATACAGAGATATTTACCTGGAAGATATACCTGAAGAGATATTTACAAAAGTGAGCTGGGAAAAACACGCATGAAGTAAGTACTACATAGTTTGCTGGAAAATACTACATCAAGACTAAAAATCATTTTATACTGGAAATGTAGTTAACATTAATCAGACTAAAATTCAAATGAAAACATCACGTTTATTAAAAAAGGCATCATGAGTTGTAGGATTTCACAATTTTAAAGAATTCTCCAAACTTTTCAGATTTGTTATGAACTGTGCAAACTATCCCAGCAGTCATCTGCACTTAGAAGGTTCAAAGAGAAACATATTTCCTCATGTAAAAAAAAAAAAAATTATGTATACACATGTATACCTGCGTGTCATATACACACTCACTATATATATCTGGCTATGAAAAACATGGGTAATTTTTTTTTTTTAAAAGTATGCATAACACCACAATTTCCCTAGTAATCTTAAGGAAAAACTGAGTGTTGCTGTGAAGGACTCTTACATGCTGACTAACCACAAGGTGATGCTATTGCACTAACTATTGAGTTCCAACACCTTTTACTATGAGGCGGCTGGCATGCTAAGCACACCCGATAAAGCACACTAAACCCAGTTAGAAAGCAGAGAAGATTACGTTCCCTCTTTATCTTAGACATACGTTTCAGTAGGTTAAGCTGACTTCATTTCCATGCCTACCTCAGCATTTTCATAGCCAAGTTCAGAATTAGAGTTCATAAAGTGCAGCTTTTCCAACCAACATTTGCATATATGCTGAGAATCTCATTTCTATGTACATATTAAGACCAAAATAAAATCCACTTACCTAGCTTTCATTTCATAACTCAGAAAAACTGTAAAATATTAAAAATGGACCTACAAATACACAACGCGAAAGACAGGAACACATTCTGAGTCATAATTTATAAACCCAGATCCTTCCGACATTTGTCTGCCAAGTTTAAATCAATTAAGCTTTCTAACAACAACTAAGGCAGTCAAGTCAATATTTAACTTTTATTTACGTATTTTTCACTTGCTGGAAGAGTCCATATTTAACAATTATGTATGTATTTTTAACTTGCTGGAATTTTATAACTATATGTAAAAACTCTAACTAGGGCAATGGGCAAGAGACTAGCTACAAAGGCAAAGTGGGAAAATACAGCAGGTTAGGAGTCCACACCTAGTAGTGAATCGCTTTCACCTTATGAGTGAACAATTCCCTAGCTTTAATGCGCTTACCAACCAAACACCTGCCTCTGCAGATCACCTTTACTTCTGAATATACGTCCGTTGACAGAGAATACAATGTCCCAATCCTTTTTATCTGAGGCCAAACATCACTTCAGAGACTGTATCTCTCCAACATTGTTTGTTTTATACAATATTAAACTCAGTGAATGTGCCTTCCACAAAACACAAAACAAAAGACAAGTCCATTCCAAAGCCTCCTCAACCTAACTCAGCCTACTGTAAGCCAGAACTCAGAGCCAAAGCTCCACTCTTACCCTGCTTTAGCTGGCAATTTAAAAGATAAAACTATATCTAAAAAGAGGTTTCTTCACAGCCTACATCTAACCTTACTATTTTAAACATCAACTACGAATGAAAACCGAATCATGTTTCTCTTGGTTTTAGAAGGACCTCGGGGTGTCATCTGTCAATCAACTCGTGATGTTCTCTGAAAGCCTCTCTTTTTTTTCTCCTGCTTAACTATTCCTTTATGGTTCTCCTAACTGTTCCTTCAAAGCACCATTAAACATATCCACAAAATTACTGGGGAGAGGAGAGAGAACTTCCTTCCTCATTCAGAGAAAATTCAGTTCAGTGGGATCCTTCTCCACCATCAGGGCTCCTGGTCATTATGAGAACAACAAAGTACAACTCCTTTTGCAGCCCATGCACAGAAACACTACATATCCACACACTACTTGATTTCTACTTCAGATCTCATTACTGCACCTCTCTTTCCAGATCTTGCACTCAAACTGCTGACAACTCAGTACTTTTGGAATACATGTAATTAAGGGTTTCTCTGCTCTGCTTTTTAAAGTGCTGTTCCTACAGGTGCCATATAGAATCTGACCAACAGCATTGTAACATAGTACAACAGGTAGGCTTGCTGTCAGAACTTGGCTATCAAGCTGCTGGATAAGGATTGTTTGGTGTCATTTGTGAAGGCGGTCTGGCACTGTCCCAGGCTTGGAGCCGACCAGGTGGGAAGAAAGCAGGGCTAATTTCCTACTGCTTGACCAATCCCCAGACCAACGGAGACAAATCTGCCACATCTTAAAGGGAGCTATGAAAGACAGTGGGAATATTAAAAAAAAAAAAAAAAAAAAAAAAAAAAAAAACAGGTTAGAGTCCTGCTGAAAGAAAAAAAAAAAAAAAAAAAAAAAAAAAAAAAAAAAAAAGTCTTGCTGAATAAAAGAAGTTGAATCTAGTAGCAATCTGTTCACTGCACACATCACAGATATGAGCAAATGGCTATTACCCTTAACAGAGCCTCTGCATTACACTTCTTTAAAAGCAGAAAGGATAACTATAGCTGAATACACTGCCAGTCTTCCTCAGATAGTATTATTACATTGCTGAGATATAAGGTAATTCAATTGTCAATTAGAAAGATTAAAATTATTAAATTATCGTTGTGTAATTGTTTGTGTCCACGTGGAGCTGGTAAAAGTTGGGTATGTTAGCTCTTCCACACCATAATACTACTACATTTCTTTGAAATATAATTCAGTTTTGAATAGCTTGACTGCATAAAAACGTGTAAAAACAAAAAACTTTTTAATCTTTTTTACACATCTAACATTTCAGGGATTTATGCATACCAGTGCAACTCAACTTTGAAAATTACTTTTTTCATTAAATACCACGAAATGAATGAAGATTAAACTGAAGATTAAAAACAGTCTGAAACACATCATAAGGCCATCTCTTAGTATTAAATGATTTTTTCTATCCAAACAGCAGAATTTCCAACAATGGAATATATAGCATGGAGCGAATAACATACAATGGGGTTCCCTGACAGTGGGTAATCTCTGTATTATATAAATGATTTTCATGTTCACAGGCCATTAGGTATCACACTGGGGGAGGGAAGAGGGAAACTGAGTCAGGAGGTCAGTGCTGGGCATCCCTGATTTTATTAACTCAGCTGTGCACGACAGTGCAAATGGGCCTCCCTACCACTGTGCTTAGTAACTTGGTTTAGGTATTTGCCACAATACATTCCATCCAAGTAAGAAAGACTGTGACAGAGTAAGTGTAATTTTAAAAAGCCATATTCTTCAGAAATACTCTGCAGTATTTAGGTAGTTGGAGGATTTTTTCCTTAAAACAGAATAAAACCAACCCGCCACATACTTTGCAACTAAATGGTTCCAGCCATCATCTCATGCAACTTCCCAACTATTAATACATCATACCTGCAAAACACTTTCTAATTTGGTTCTTTCCTTAAGAAGCAATTCATATTCACTGTTACAAGTTCTTCGGATATCATCCTTCTCACTTGCAAGTCTTTGCTGTTGTTCTTTCCACTTCTGCTGAGCAATATGAAATGTTTTCTCAGTCTCCGCAACTTTCTGCTGAAGTTTTTCATTCAATACTATTGTTTACAGAAAAGAGAAAGAAAGAAGACAAGTAGCACTGCAAAGCATGCTCAGGAAAAAAAAAAAAAAAAGTGTAATAATTGTTTGTATTGTGATATCCTGTAGAACATTTACACTTCCAGCACTGGAGAGCATCTCCTTCACTACAAAGAACCAATCAAATTTTGTGTTCCTACATATTCTTTCACACAAGGACACAGGAATGCTATAAGAGATTTTATAAATTAAAATAGGTATAAACCTTTCCTTCCACATACTACTGTCACAACATACATATTCCATTACTTATAAAAAGAGAAATAAGGACAATGAGAAAAGGGGAAGGGGAAGGGACCGGACATAAGCAGTGAAAACCTTGAAACCTTTGAAAAGATAAAAGAAAGAAGTAGCATGATGACAACTTCTGGAAAAAAAGTTGTTGGAAACAGTGCAAACAAATGAACACGGATGGGCTTTTTCTTTTCTTTTTTCTTTTTTTCCCACCTGAAATGGAAAAGGAAGAACTGCTAGACACAGCAATAACCAGGATGTGGAGAAAGCCACCATGATTACAATTCTGTACAAGGACAGCAGTGAAAAAGGCAACAACAGAAGGTAAGGAGGGACAAGAGGACATAGGATTGATAAGTGTCAATTAAAACCAACCTGCTAAACCTGAGACAGCAAGAGTTTTGTAAACTCTTACAAGTTTACAAAAGCAGATGGATAAGAGATGGGAAAGGTAAGTGAGATCCAAAAAAAAAAAAAAAAACAAGTAGAAAATTTAATTAAGTCACTGCTGCTCACTTGTCTTCCTGACTTGGAACTTTGCCTTTGTTCTGTGTTTGCTTTTTTGAAACTTACCTTGCAGTTCCACAAGTCTGTTTTTTGCATCTCTTAACTCCTCTTCTGCAGCGTACATTTTCAGACGAGCATCTCTTCTGGCAATTGCCAATTCATACTCCAGACTCTGTCGAGCAGCCTCTCCTTTCTCAATTTGTGACCGTAATTTGACTATCTGGCTTTCATAGTGGGACAGCTAGAAAATAAATATGTTTCAGAAAACTGGCAACAATGCTCCTTTGAAAAAATGCAACATGTTACAGAATATTTTTAAAAGATATTTTGAATTGCATTTACAGCTGCCTTCTTATTCCACTTGAATTTGAAATATAGTCTTGCAAATGCATACTTAGGCAAATTTTAAGTACTTTTACTGTTTTTTATGGAAACCGTTCCTATTCCTAGATGAATTTCTTGTACCTTAAAACTATCCCTCTATTTTTCCAAAAATACACTACCTTACGAAAATAAAAGTCATAATTCTGTCATCTTCCTGCACCTCAAAGGAAAAACTGCAGCAACAGAAACATTATATTCCATGGGCAATTTTCTGGCAACTTTCTGTAAATTTAAACACTTAGAAATAACAGTCATGTTGCAATGCTAGACTATCAAATATGTAATAACTCACAAGTGCATGTATGAGCATTAAATAATTCAGTCCAATAACGTTCAGTAGTCGAACAGAATGCTATTAAATTTGACAACAAACTAAGAATAGAAAATGCTTCCAAAAGTGACCTTATCCAGATTAAGAAACATAGTCTAGTTATTGCTGCCAAAAACTGGGTCCAGAAAATGAAGTTCAAGCTATTTCAACACAGGAAGGTAGAAAGTAAAATACGTATTTCTTCAGAACATCTACAAAGCAGTCTCAATAATATCAAATGAAGTGTAGGTAACTTCAGCACTACCAGTATCTGTAGCTATACAGTAAATGGACAGGGGGGAAAAAAACCTAGTCTCTCAAGTAGTTTATCCACTGTGGTGCAAACCACAACAGCAAAATGGTGCAAAAGATCCTTGTACGCCCCCAGCTTTCAAATTCTCAACGTTAGAGGTGGTTTGTTTGTTGTTTGGGTTTTTTTTAAATACAGGTAATTCCAGGGATCCCATTTTTAAAATCACCGCACAGTTGATGATGCAATAGGAAAGTAATGAATTAAGTGCAGCACAAGTCATTGTGGAAGAGGCAGCAGCAATCTCTTCATTTGGGTACACACCCCAATAGTAAATGGATATAGAACAGCAAACTTGGTTTATTGGCTGGATTTAGCCCAGAACGAGAATGAGAAACCACCACATCAGCTGCCCCTAGCAAACTGCAGAGCAGAATTGGTACCTATAGTAGTAATAATACTTCTGCACCAGCACAGTTTAAACTAGGTTATCAGCTGCCAGACTGGCATTAGAAAATGTGGGAAGCATTCCTGGTAGCAACAAATCCAAAGCTGATTACAACTACTGCTGTACTCACTGCCTACTCTTTCTCATGTAACCTATTGTGAAAGCTGATATTCAAGCTAAAGAAAAGATGAATTATTTTCTTACTACTACGTTATTTCAGTACTAGTTTGCTACAATAGCATCAGGGAAAACCTTTGTAAGGCAGGTAAATTATTTCCCTCTGAATTAAGTTCTCATTAGCAAGTAGGAAGTTCCTCAAGAACTCATCACCGCATTTGTACATTACACATTGTTATAGTTAACTGGAAACTGCAAATTTGCACATCGCGAGACCACTAAAGGATATCCCAGCTGGATTCAGTGTATACGCACACAAAAATACTGTACTAGATTTATGAGTTGCAAATGATTTCTGCAGAATTAAAATGATACTCTAATACCCTGCAAAAAAAAATATAAACAAGAATTAAATAAGATCTTTTTATGAGGCTAGATTCAAGCTGTAGCTTTTATTCATTTGTGTCACCAGACAATTTTACCTAGTAGTGGCAGTGACTCCTTTCTCTGCAGAAATTTTGCACTCTGCTTCGTGCAACTTTAACAATGCCAGCAGAGGTGCTCGGAGTTCCTATGAACAGGTATGAGGTCTGTACAGTGCCACCTCCCTTGTTACTTATCAGCTAATGACTGTGCTTTTGATACACCACGCAAGAATGCTATTTTAATGAAACAAAATTACATTTATTCCAAGGTAAACCACAGCAAACAAAAAAGTCCTTACTTCTTGATTGTGTTTAATGGTTAAGTCTAATTTTTCTTGCTTCGCTTGGCAGAGTTTCCTTCTCAGATCTTCAGCAGTGTCCAATTCCGTTTCATTGCTATTTTGCAGTAACTGTGACTCACACTTAGCATTCTGTAAGCTGCAAAATACAAATGTTTTCAATAAACATGAGTATTCCTTTGAAGTTTCAGTGATCAGATTGTGAGCCCAAAGTTCTAAATATTCACCTAAGTAAAATTGTGCCACACAGTTGTTATTGTACTATTGCTCTTTGAAAAAAGGGTTATATAGAATTGCTTATTGTGCAAGATATGAGATATCTCTCATATAGCAGCAGGAATTTAAAACAGATACATACTTTGAATTTATCAAAGTTGATTTAAGCATAACTTCTTTTCATATTATTTGTCACTACCTTCATTATTGAATCAATAAACTTTCAGGATGCTTAAAAAACTTCATTCCAATCACTTAAATTAAAATGACTAGCAAGTTTTTGTTTGTATCCCGCAGGAAGGCTAATTTTTTAACATGGATTACCATCTCAAAACCACTTTTGTCATGAAACAAACGCACGTGTGGAAGAAAAATCCCTTTTCTACATTTTCTCTTGAAAGATATATACATTTAAACTACACACAAACAACTGATCACTAACATAATACAAATTAAAGGTCCCGTCCTCCAAAATATCCAGTATATTCACTTTCACTACTATTTCAGTTAGATGAAAATCTATGTGGCAGGCAGCAGGAACAGCCCTTGAACACCACAAGAAAAATTAAAATAATCAAACCAAGTTTTTATATGTAGAGTGAAAAATTAGTATAAAACTACCTATTTAATTAAACTAGTTTAAGAATCATCTTATGTGCAATTATTGTACTTCAAACTGGACAATTTTTAAATTATTTCAGGAGTTAAAAAACAGTTTTCACATTATTTTATATATGTCGTTTTTTACATTATTTCATATATAGTAGTTTTCATATTATCTTATATATGACAGTTTTCACATTATTTTATATATGTAAGGATGGCTGCAAAAATTAATTGCTCCATACAAAAGCACATGTTGTCAGGACCCCTGAATGTGAAACACTCTATAAAAAGAAACATGATTAAATTAACCACAAAGTTTGCATCTTTTCACACAGAACAGAAAATACTAAAATAGCTTACTTTTATCTACAAGAAGTATTATTTACAGAAGTAAGAGCCTGCCAGCATTAAAAATCATAGAAGAGTTTGGGTTGGAAGGGACCTCCAAACGTAATCCAGTCTGATGCCTCAGCAATGACCAGGGATATCTTCAACTAGAGCAGGTTGCTCAGAGCCCTGTCCAACCTGACCCAGAACGTTTCCAGAGATATGGCATCTACTACCTCTCTGGGAAACCTGTGCTAGTGTTTCACTACCCTCTTTGTAAAAAGAAGGTTTCACCAACATCCTTAGATCTAGCCTGAAATCTACTCTCTTTTAGTTTAAAACCATTACCCCTTGTCCTATCACAACAAGCCCTCCTAAGCAGTTTGACCCCATCTTTCTTATAAGATCTCTTTCAGTATTCAAAGGCCACAAGAAGGTCTCCCCGCAGCCTTCTCTTCTCCACACTGACAACTCCAGCCATCTCTACCTCAGCCTGTCCTCACCAGACAGGTGCTCCATCCCTCTCATCATTTAGGTGGCCCTTCTCTGGAGCTGCTCCAGTAGGTCCATGTCTTTCCTCTCCTGAGGACTCCACAGCTGGACGCAGGGCTCTAGGTGGGATCTCTCCAGAGAGGAGGAGAGGGGCACAATCACCTCTCTCGACCCACTGACCACGCTTCTTTTATGCAGGCCAGGACATGCTTGGCTTTCTGGGCTGCAAGCCCACGTTGCCAGCTCACGTCCAGCTTTTCAACCACCAGTATCCCCAAGTCCATCTTGGTAGGGCTGCTCCGTAGCCCTTCCTCTTCCAGCCTGTATTGGTACCAGGGCTTGCCCCATCCCATGTGCAGGACCCTGCACCCGGCCCCATTGAACCTCATGAGGTTCACACAGGCCCACTTCTTGAGCTTGGCCAGGTTCCTCTGGAGGACATCCCATCCCTCAAGGCATGTCAACCAGGCCACTCAGCTTGGTGTCATCTGCAAACTTGCTCAGGATGCACTCGATCTCACTGTCTATGTCATTGATGATGATATTGAACAGGACTGGTCCCCATACAGGCCCCTGAGGGACACATCACTAATGTCCATCTGGACATTGAGCCATTGACCACTACTCTCTGGATGCAGCCAGCCAATTCCTAATCAAATCCGTATCACTCCAATTTAGAAAGAAGAATGTTGTGGGGAACTGTGTCAAAGGCCTTACAGGTAGGCAACATCCATAGCTCTTCCCTTGTCCACCAAGGGAGTCACTCCATCACAGAAGGCCACTAGCTTGGTGAGGCAAGACTTGTTCTTGGTGAAGCCAAAGACAGCCATTTGCCTGTCTTGAATCACATCCCTGTCCTCCATGTGCCTTAACATGTGCCTTCTAGGAGAATCTGTTCCATTATATTCCCAGACGCAGAGTTAAGGCTGATAGGTCAGTAATTCCCAGGGTCCTCCTTTCTACCCTTTTTAAAAATGGGCACGTTTCCTTTTCTCCACTCGCTGAGGACATCAGAGGGTATACACTTCACTTGACCTTCATTTTCTGACCTGTAGAAGCCCTTATTATTATTCTTTGTGTCCATTGGAAAGTTCAGCTACAGATGCGCCATCGCCTTCCTGATCCCACCCCTACACAACCCAGCAGCGTCCCTTCCTTCTCCTAGGATACCTACCCCTGCTTCCACCACCTGTGCTCCTCCTTTCTACCCTTTTTAAAAATGGGCACGTTTCCTTTTCTCCACTCGCTGAGGACATCAGAGGGTATACACTTCACTTGACCTTCATTTTCTGACCTGTAGAAGCCCTTATTATTATTCTTTGTGTCCATTGGAAAGTTCAGCTACAGATGCGCCATCGCCTTCCTGATCCCACCCCTACACAACCCAGCAGCGTCCCTTCCTTCTCCTAGGATACCTACCCCTGCTTCCACCACCTGTGCTTTTCTTTCTTGCCCTTTAGTTTGACCAGCAGGTCTTGACTCATCTATGCTGGACTCCTGCCTTCCTTTCCTGATTCCAGGCACCAGGGCATCAAGAGCTCTTGCACTCTAAGGAAAGCACCTTTATAGATCTGCCAGCTCTTTCCTGTTCTCTTGTCCCTCAGGGCAGTTTTCCAGGAGGCCCTATTGACTAACTCCTTGAAGAGCTGGAATTTCGCTTTCCTAAAATTCAGGGTCCTGACTTTATTCTTCCACTGACCTATATCCCTCTGATCCACCAGCGCATGACCACTGCAGTCCAGGCTGCCTCCAATCTTCACGTCTCCAATGACCTTGCTTGCGTTGGTGCCCATGAGGTCCAGTATCACAGCCCCTCTGCTGGGGCTGTCTATTGCCTGGACTAAGAATTTATCTTCAATACACTCTAGGAGTCTCTGGGATTGCCTACAGGTCACCGTGCTACTTTTCCAGCAGATGTTAGTGGTTGCAGTCCCCTAGCAGGACAAAAGCATGGGAGTGTGATGCCTCCTGTAGCTGGAGTAAGAAGTCTTTGCTAACAGGCTCCCCTTGATCTGGCAGCCTGTAGTAGACAGCAACCACAAGCCTCCTTTTGTTGCTTCAGTCTCTAATTATGACCCAGAGGCTTTCAGTCTGCTCATGGCTACTCTTCAGAGACTGCTCTTCACACTCTATCCATTCCTTGATGTAGAGGGCAATGCCTCCACCCCTCCTTCCTTACCTGTCGTTTCTGAACAACCTGTAGCCATCAGTAGCTGCACTCCTGTGATGGAATACGTCCCACCAGGTTTCAGGTTGTAAATTTAATTATTTGTTTTTTCTAAATAAAAACCTACAACTTTACCCCTAGATTTGTGCATAAGCACCATTAACGTTTTCCACAACTTAGGACACTACCTGATAGTATATCTTCTCACATAAGGTGACTAGCAAAAAAGACACAAATGTCATCAACAAAAGGAATATTAATTTAGATTCAGTGCTGTGTTTAAAGGGATTAGCAATAACAAAGGATGAAACTTCAGCTTTTTAGCTGCAGCCCATAAATATTTTAGAATTTATTAAATACTAAGTTTATTTCCATTTAAAACAAGATGGACTTCAGCCATGAGAAGAAAATAATTGTATGCCATCAGTAATTGTTCCACAGGGTGCCATGTACTTAACACATTTTATATATTTAATAAATGTAGGCGATAAGGATCATTAAAACCTGCATGTACTGCAAGAAAACCACAGACACATTATTAGATTTCAGTGTTTACTATGGGAGCTGTACCCAAAGTAAACCTAAAGGAACCAACATGACTCAAAGGGCAAACTACCAGCAACAAGGTAAGTAAAATACGTATCATTTTATGCAACTCCACTGCAATAAGAAGATATGGAAATCAGGAAATAGGAAGCTCTGGACAGCTGGAGCATCTGTAAACTGTATAAAAGCTTGTTTGCGGATATCATATAATAAGTCTGGGAGACCTTTATTTTTTTGTGGCTGGGGAAAACAGAGACAAAAGAAAGGCAAGCCATCTGATTCAGAGATGATGCAAGATGTATCAGTCTCAACTATAGATAGCTAGAGGCCAGACTGCACCAAAGCTAGCAAAGCACATGTTAGGGAGAAAAGCAGAACTCAAACTGAAATCTGGGGAGGAAAGGGTAGCCATCTTGTTAGTTCACAGGCAGCCAGGAGGTCGTTTTGCTTCTTTAAGGCTGATGATATTTAATACTTGTTGCATAGAGAGCACATTGAATGCAAGCAAGGGAATGAGCACTTTTGGTAAAGTAAATTAAAAAACCACCTTTAAATCTTTAGGTAAATTACACTGGTTTGTATGGCAATCAGCTTTCAAGAAAACTGTTCCTTCCAACTCATCTACTAATTATCCAGGGAAAAAAAAAAAAAGAGCACAATGTAGTTATCTGTCCAATAAAACCTACTCAGAGGAAAATTTAAATATGTGATTAACTGTTCTGCCTCACTGGACCAGTGGTGGAAAAAAAACCCAAAACAACAAGCCACAAACAAGTTACAAAACATCACAAGTAATAGCAAATTAGGGATATTATAGAAATGAAAAATATGCATAAAAGCATTAAGACACAAAAGAACAACAGCAAGTACTGGGGAAAAAAAGCATTAAACACCTTTTTAAAACAGTGTTTTCTGCACAGCTTCTAAACTCACAGCACTGTGACTGAAAAATTTAAAATATAAAGCAGAAAACCACATTTTTGTTCTTAGTTTATAATCAAATTGAATCAGCAATTTAAAAAAAGAAAACAACACACAAGAAAAAAAAAATGAGGAAATATGACTATATCAACCACTTTGTTATTTCATTTGTCTACTTAACCATTTTTTTTAAATAAAATAGAGATTGGCCTTGTTCTGTGATATTTTTTTAATCATCACAGCATCACCAGCACATGCAGTACTTAATGAAAGCTTCATAATACCTATTGTAGGAAGTTCTTCCTTCTACATTCATATTAAAAGTAGAACTGCTACAAGCATAAAGCTCTTGGAAGCTTAAATCAAAGACAAAGCCACACAAAATCCCTGGAAAGTTTCACAGCATGTGTGATTTGCAGTCTAGAGGAATTCAGAGAATGTTTTGCACTTCCGTTTTCATATATAACTAGTTCATTGATCACTGATTTTGAACTAAAATATGCATTTTACCAACTACAGCTTTTATCTAAAACACTATTTTTAGTAGTACTTTAAGAATCTTCAAGAAAGCACATAAGCAGATGAAATAGCTTTTGAGTTCTACATTCCACAATGACTTTTTTTTAACTCAAAAACTTTAAATTCACATTCCCTTCACAAACCAGTTAGTTACAGTGACCATAGAACACTGCAGACAGTTTTGCTCCAGCTTTTCTTCCACATCTGGCAGAAAATGTAGAATAATGTAACAGAGATAAATTCTCTTTATTACCTAGAAGTGGAATTGTGCTAAACTTTCCCAGCTGAAGGAGCAGTCTGCAGTCTGATTTCCTAACCAAAGTTCCTATTTGTGAAATTTTGCTGTTCCTATGTAACTGGCAGTTTTGTATAATCAGACTTTAAAAAGTGACAAACAGCTCTCACAGCTAAGACAAACAAAATGAGTTAAATTTATTTGTACCAAAGTACAAAGCACGTATAAGGTTCTAAAAAAAACAAGAGCCACGTGCAAGACTTAAAGCCGACCTCTACCACCCCAGGTAATGCAGAAAGCCATTATGTAACCCCAGGTCAGTGTTTCTAACTGCAGACAGGAGCTCCCCCGATGTCCAAGGCGTGTATCCTACGTTCATGTGAGAATTCTTGCACATCAGGTGGCCAGCATGCACCCCTTCAAGTGCATCTTTTCATCTAAAGACTATACTGACATGGCACAGATTGCATGTGTTGACACCCTGTCTGGTTCTTCTTCAGTCTGAACTACCTAATTTCAGGGATCTAGGAAATAAACCACAAAAACGTGTTATATTACTAGACTTAAAAATACACAAGTGGAGCTCACCATTTAGCTTCTGTGACAGTGGAGCTGACTGGAGAGGACAAACTCATGATGTCCAATATGCACTATAAACTCTGGAGAATGAACATCATCTTCGACTTTTACTTGACAAGCTTCAAAGATTACTCTTTTCCATATCATAAAAACATTACAACCTGTAACAGAGACCTGCTTTAGTTTATTTGTCAACATAAGAATCATTTGTTAACACTCATGAACATTTACCAAACAGTGTTACTACTATGTCACGTGAAGACTTACCACCCACTGTAATCTGATATCAGTTTTAGTCAACAAAGATAATTGTGCTGCTATAAGCTTGGATATTGTAGACAAAACAAAAAAAAAAAAAAAAAAAAAAAAAAAGTTGTAAAATGTCCATTATCAGGGCTTTCAGAGGGAGGTCAATACAAAATGTTATGTTTGCGTAAAGTGTTCTCCTACATTCTATAGTCTCCTAAGGGTTTAATATTTTTCCTAGAACTTTTTTTTTTTTTTTTTTTTTTTTTAAGGAAGAAAAGTGGTAATTTAGAAAAAAAAAAAAAAAAAAAAAAAAAAAAAGTTGTAAAATGTCCATTATCAGGGCTTTCAGAGGGAGGTCAATACAAAATGTTATGTTTGCGTAAAGTGTTCTCCTACATTCTATAGTCTCCTAAAAGGATCTTGTTTTCTCCAAACTCTATTTCTCTTCAAAATAATTCTAAGAGAGAAAAATGCAAGTATTACAATTTTTTCAGTAGGTGAATATCCAAGGTTTGCTGTCTAATATCAGCCTTTAACATAGCAAGCCTTCTCACTGTTTCATAAACCTGGAATTTTCTATTTGAACATATTTTTGTTGTATTAGACATATCAACAATATGCAGGAGTATAAGGGAGGAATATCAAATTGAACTATAACTCAGCTCACCTTCAGAAGAAACTCACTAGTGTTACTAATAAAAAGAAATCAATACAGATAACATATTTATAACACAGACCTTAAAAAAATTCCAAGATTTACTTCAAGATGAATATTAAACCCATTTATGAGTTCTTCCCATTAATTGAAGCAAAGAATGAGCTCTATTCAATAGTCAAGATTAATGAGCCACGAAGGTTTGCTTTTGAAATCCACAGCAGATGGGCACTCATGCTAAAGTCCATTACATGAAACTAGCCTGGACTCCATCTTTACCATCTCTGGCTTGCAGCTCCGTGTTTGCCAGAGTCTACTTCTGTTGGAATGAACACAGTAGTACTTGGTGTAACGTATTAACTATAAACTGATTTTGTTCATTCCGGTAGCTAATAATCTGCACTAGAAATATGGAAAGGAAAAAACACATTTCTGCTTCAAATTATAATTTTAACAGAATATGCAGCAAGAATAAACCTATCATTTCTAAAATGTATTAATTGTTTTATAGAAAAGCATACCAAATGGTTTCCACGGTTATCATACCGTTCTATATTCAAACATGCAGTTATTCCAAAGTATCTTCAAAATCAAGTGGAGTAATAAGAGAATAAAAGTACAATGAACGTTAACAGTTTGCTTCAGTTTATAAATAAAGTATATCAAATTTAATAATTTAAATACTTGATAATAATATTTAATTATAAAGAATAAAGTATCATTTGTGATTTTTAAGATCTATCCATCAGAATTCACCTTGGTACACGTGTTCATAAGCCCCAAAACATGTAACTACCATACAACTGTCACACACACTCTCAGAAAAAGCAACTGAGCAAAGTATATTTTCAAAGTATAGACAAGTCTGTGGTACTATTGCTAGGCACATGTTAAGTCCTTTAAATTATTAGTAACTCGCAAACTAAAAGCTCCAACTTGACATGACAGAAGAACTCTGACAGAATATTTGTTGTATTGTACTCAACATATCAGGGTATGGGAAACTATACCTCTATCAATTGTGCGTGATCTTCCCATTAAGATGTAGCTCTGAACACTGAGAAACTAATTTTTCATACCACTCTTTTAAGCTTTATTGCAACTTATATCAAAATGTCATAATGAACAGTAGAAAAAAAAATAGGTATGAGTAAAAGATCATCTCAGAAATCTGTTTTTTCACCTCAAGAACAGAATTCACTGAGTCTACTAGACAAGCAGTAACTGCAGTGAAATAAAAAAAAAGTCTCAAAACATAATCAAAATATACTCTCTCACATCCACAGCATTCTGTACTTTTAAAAAGTCCTGAAATTATTCTGAAGTCACAGAGGGGAAAAAAATAATATCTAAAGCATGTTTTCTGGGAATGCTAGTAAATTTGAACTTCCAAACGTCCTCTGTTAAAATATGTTTCAACAGCTAGTTTACTAGCCCACAAATGGATACACTCCAAAAAGCATGCTATTTCACTTACAAAAAGAAGTATTCAAGTGGCATAGAAGGGCTCATAGCAGCCCCATAACTAAACAAAATAGTGCAGGAAGTGCTGGTTTGAGGAGTTAATGCGTTTGACAGGTGTTACCAAAAAACGTGCGTCATATTCTCATGAAATTCTGAATATGCTTAACTTAACTTTAGCAAGGCCATTGATTTAGATTAGATATAAGCAAGAAAGTCTTTGCTGTAGCGACGGTGAGGCACTGGAACAGGCTGCCCAGAGAAGGTGGGGATGCCCCATCCTTGGAGGTGTTCAAAGCCAGGCTGGATGGGGCTTTGAGGAGCCTGGTCTAGTGGGAGGTGTCCCTGCCCATGGCAGCGGGATTGGAAGTGGACAATCTTTGAAGGTCCAACGCAAACCATTCCGTGAATGAGAGTACTCAAAACAAATCTAACCATTACCTTATGATGTACTACTTCAAAGCACAGAAAGCAAGGTGTAACTAACATACCTGCACTGGAACCTAGAAAAGCTCACCAGCAGTTGTTTCAGCTGAAAGAATCACTAGATTTTCATAGAATAGGTTCAGGTTGGAAGGGACTTTAAAGATCATGGAGTTCCAACCCCCCTGCCCTGGGCAGGGTCACCTCCCCCTAGAGCAGACTGATCAAAGCCCCATCCAGCCTGGCCTTGAACACCTCCAGGGATGGGGCATCCACAACTTCCCTGGGCAACCTGTTCACTGATGACCAAAAAACTTTACACAAGCTAAAAAAAAAAAAAAATTTAAAAAAAAAATAAATCAAAGGAACAGTATCACTTGACTATGCTTACACCACAGATGACACTTGTTTTAAGCGCTGGCAGCACCTGTGCTCCACAGACCATATCTGGAAGCCGGCGTGACCCTCAGGCCCGGCGGCACCTCAGGACGCGGCCCCCCCGCCGCACCCCAAAACCCAGCACCGAGATCCGTCGCCGCGGGCGGACGGACGGACGGACGGACGGACGGAGGGGACGAACGGTGCCGCACCTCACCGCCGCGGCCCCCAGAGGCGCCCTCCCCGCCAAGAACCCCGCCGCCGG